CCCCATCCAATCATCCCTTCTCCCTGTCCTCTGCCCTCAGAACTCCTGCCCCTGACTGCCCCCTGCCCCCCCCATCTAACTCCCCCTCTCCTTCCTGACTGCCCCCCTGGGACTCCTGCCCCCATTCAACCCATTCCCTGCCCTCTGACCCCTATCCACACCCTCACCCCTGACCACCACCCCGAACTCCCCTGCCCTCTATCCAACCCCCCCGCTCCCTGCCCTCTTACCGCGCTGCCTGGAGCACTGGTGGCTGGCGGCACTACAGCCACGCACCGCGCAGCACAGAGACCGGGTCAGGCCCGGCTCTGCAGCTGCGCTACCCCAGGAGCTCGCAGCCTGCCACCCAGAGCATTGCGCTGGCGGCACAGTGAGCTGAGGCTGCGGGGGAAGAGAAACAGCGGGAGAGGGACCAGGGGTGAGCCTCCCAGGCCAGGAGCTCAGGGGCCGGGCAGGAGGGTCCCGCGGGCTGCATGTGGCTCGCAGGCCGTAGTTTGCCCACCTCTGTTTTATAGCATATTGGCGGGTCTTCAGAAAGAAAAAGGTTGAGAGCCCCTGGAGTAGATGACCTCTTGAGGTCCCTTTCAGCCCTGCATTTCTATGATTCTATGATATTTTAATTAGTTGGAAAACGCTGGAGGCCAGATCCTGAACTGGTGTAAGTCTGTGTCTCTCCACTGACGTCAACAGGCCTATTCTGATTTACACTAGCTAAGGATCTGGCCATGTACCTAAAAATCTTTTTTAAAACATTCTTCCATTATATAATTTGACATATTGAATGAAGAGTAGAAGTGGAAAAAAATGGGAAATGCCCTTTTTATTTGTCAGATGCATCCTGCATCCAACCATCTCTGATCAACTGCATGGGGCCCACAAATGTCCTATTGACTAGGGCACCCTGCTTTCCTGAAGGTGCACGGTGAGAATTTGCCTCACTAGTACACCCCATTCCCTTACTTGCCCTGTTTTGGCCCCACTGGGTGACTGGTTACCTCATGCCTTTGTGAGGGAGTGACGGGCACGGGCAAGAATGTTCTTTCACAGTGTCAGCACGGAGGAGCCAGCTGTGTGTCCAATTTTTGGACCACGTTCAATGTTGATGTCAGTGGAGAGCAACGCAGAGGTTAAGGAGGTGAGAAGGGCTTGGGTTTTTCACTATGTTGACATACACCAGCTCTCACGCGCCAACCCCCTGAGCCTACAAGGTTGTGAGTACATGTCTCAGATGAGAGGTTTTTATCCTTAGCCTCCTCCATATTGAAAGGGGGTAAGGAAATGCCTTAACCCAGCTTTACTTTAAGCCAGGAGGTCCCAGGGGGAAAGAGGTGTTTCTCTTAAACTGGAGTGATACGCTGAGCGAGGTCCTGCCCTCGTGTGCTGCAGATCCATAGATACCCACAAATACAGCACATTCAGTTGTGGAGTAAGACTCTCCTTGGGGGTTATGTTCCAGCAACTGTGCACTGGGATTTTGTGCAGGGGAGAAGGGGCAGTCACAGTCTGGTCAAAACTGGACACTGACTCACTACACTGAGCACAGTTTAGTTTTGTGCATAGTGATAAAAAGGTTTTGAAGGGGATATGGGCTGCCATGGAGCAGCACTGCAGTTCTGGAGCGGGGAAGGACCAGAATTAGCACTGATAACATTTGAGTTTCCATCTGGCTCAGAGCTGCTCCTCCTCAAGAATCTCTGTCCACCCCTTTCACATGTGACAGAGGCTGAGAATGGCAACCAAAAACTTTATGTTGCTAAAAAATTTCTGCTTCAAACCCATGGCCATTCTCACCTGACATGCTCATAACTGGCAGAATGGCCCTGCGTAGGCCATATGTATGAGAACCTAAGTCAGTGCACATGTGCACTCTCTCCTGTCCTGTGTTTATTGCTTTTTAGCAAGAGAAACAAAAGTGGAATCCATGTTCTGTGCAGAAAGAAGCAGTGTGGCCCCCACTGGCTGTTGCTCTCAGCTACATCTCAGATGTTTCATTAGAAGACCACTTCTTAAGATCTACTCTTGGACACTTTTCCCAACAGCCTGCTCATCCCAATCCCTTGCCTTCCCTGCAGCTGCAGTAGCGCTTGGCTACTTGAAAAAGCAATATTAGGAGATAAGCTGAAAACAAACTCACTAGAATGATGGGTGGTGAGGCTATTACATCTCTCTAGTTGTATCTGATCTGTTTATTTCCTGTCCTCTGGGGCAGGACATTACAATCCTTGGTACCAAATCTCCCTTCATCATCTGCAACGCCCCACAGCTCTACTATCTCCAGGTTCGTCTGCAGTTTGCTTCTATATGCTTGTATGTTTGCCCTTCCTCCAATTTTGGAGTCATCCACAAATGTGGTCCTGCTTGAATGTATTCCAAAGAAACACAGGAGTCTCTAGGAACACTGAAAGAAACTCGGTCTGCGCTACAAGAGACATCACTGCCTGAAGACTGACAGATGGTTCAACATTGCACCTGCCTGAAGTGGCAAGTGCCACAGCCTGAGAACCGCTGAACTCAATGTTCTCTAGTTCCCGTGGTCAAGTTGGAGCTGTTAAGAAGTACATTTAAGACACCTGTTGGGCAAAACCCAGTGAATTTGTCCTAAATTAGGGAGTGTGGGAATATCAGAAAGTTCTGTGACATCGCAAGGAAAGAAACCAACTTTCTGTATGGTTTAAATGCCTGCACAAACTGTAGGAACACTCCCTTGGGTGTGGGATAATGTGCAGTGTTTGTGTCATCTAGTTGTCTAAACACTATGGATAAAATTCTGCTCCTATTAAATGATTGATTCTCTTTAAGTGAATGGACTTGCTCCAGATTTACACCTGTGAAACTGAGAGCAGACTTTTGGTCCCATGTGCCCACCCGAAGCAGAGCTTACTGCTATCCCATGCAGTGGTCACTTCCCAGAGCAGCATAAGCCACTAAGTTGTCTGTCCAAAGGTGACCTCATTCAGGGCTGGCCTTCTAATTTGCAGGGTGGAAGAGGGGGGTGTGGTGGTGGGAAATCATGCCATGTTTACATGCTTCCCTTCTGGTCCTGATGCTGGAAGGGGTCAGGGATCTGGCCTGTAATACTCCCGTGGCCCCGCTGGCAGAGAGGAAGAGCTAGGTCGAATGCATGATGGGCCCACCAAAAAGAGCAGGGTCACAAGCGACCATTGCTTGGCTGGCCCATATCTCTCTGCAAACCAGCAGTGTGTGAGAAGCACCAGGTTCCCCTGCTTTCCAAAACAAGTGCCTGCAGCAGCTCCCAGTGGTCGCCCAGCAGCCTCTGCAGGATTCTCTGACACCTCTGTTTTCGTGTTAACCCTTTGAGTGCTCTCCAGCACATCGAATGTGCCCGGGAGGGCCATGCAGCCAGACGCAAGCTCGGCAGCAGAGACCTAGCTAGGCCCGGCAGAGGTGCCACATATTGCCCTGACGGGTCCATCTTTGAGCTGCTGCTAGCCCCGGCAACAGGGAAAGGGTTGAGTGAGGCTGGTGGCTGGGCATTAGGACCCAGCGGGCCCCCCCGGCGCAGGCGGGGGGCTGTCAATCAGAGAGCGTGGGGAAAGTGACAGCGGTGGGCAGTTCCAGCTGACACCTCGCGCCGGCGAGGGGGATATTTAATTTGGGCTCGCGCGGGGCGCTCGGCAGTGCGCGGCGGCCGTGCAGCAGCTGGGCAGCGCAGAGCGGAGCGGGCACGTGGGTCCCAGCGCTCCGCAGGGCACAGCAGCCGCAGCCACGCGGGCAAAGGGAGCCGGGCTGCCAGTGCCGCAGGATCAGGGTCTGGGCAGGGCTCCTCCGCCAGGACCGCTCGCGCAGCTTGCAGCCCCCCCCCCCCCGGCGTGGATGCGCTGCCCACGGCTTCCTCCCAGTGCACAGAGCGCGCGTTGAAGTGATCGAGGCACCCCGCAGACGGGCGGGGGAATGGGCAGCTCCTCTGGAGCCTGGGCTCTCTGAGGGCTGGTGCTCGCCACGGGCTGTTCGCAGAGCAGGGGGTGCTCTGGCCCCCACTGCACAGCCCCTCCCGAAAGCTGCTGCTTCATGCGACCCGCGCTGCCCTCGCCGGGCAGGAAGCCCCCGAGGACGCCGCCGGGTCCCTAGTGCCCGGCGCGGAGCACCAGCCTGCGTCCTGCTCGGGCCTGGGCAGCGGGGGATTTACAGCCCGGAGCCGGGTGCGGACCTGTCGTGGGCGGGCGAGCGACTCGCTTGGAGGATGAGCCCGGGGAGAACCCTCGGGATCTAAGTCCAGCTTCCTGAGCCCCGGCGCCCCGATCCCGGAGCCGCCCGGCACAAGGCGAGCCCAGCCATGGGACCGAGCTCCGCGCCGCTCGCCCGGCGCTGCGTGTCCGCCTGAGGAAGCGCCCTGCTCCGATCTTGGGGCGGGGAAGGGAAAAGTGGGGAGCCCCCCTCAGAGCTGCAGCTGTTAGTGCGTGTGCAGGACTCTTCCCTCCCCCTCGCTGCCGCCGGCCGGACCCTTTGCCCAGCTCCCCGTCTATAAAGAGGGGTTTATTCTTGGGCTCCAGTCTCACGCCATACCCTGTCCCAGCGTCTAGACAAGCTGTCGTGGTTCTAAGTCCAGCTGTCACCATGGGGATGGAGCCGGGGCCGCTGTGAATCTTGTGGAGCCAGACAGAGCGGAGGGAGGGAGCGAGCCGCGGAGGGGGAAAGACGCCGTGGCCCTTCGGAAGGCTGCTCGCAGGGGCGCAGGGCTGCTCGCCCGGCTGCGGCAGCGGGGAGCCGCCGATGCTGAGTCCCAGCAGCCCCGGGGGAGCTATTTAAAGCGACGGGCCTCGCTGGACTTTGTCTCGGCCTATTTATGACTCCCCTGGACTTGGCAAGGGGCAGCGCGGGGCAGTAGCGAGAGCTCGGAAACCATCCCGGGGCGAGTCCCGGCCGCCGCCCGGGGCCTCTCTGCGCCGGCGGGAGCATGAAGGGGCCGCAGACTCTCCTGCTCTGGGCCGGCTGGCTGCTGCTGCAGCGCGGCTCCGGCCAGCCCTACCTCCGCCTCCGGCCCTCCCCGAGCGATAACCTGCCTGTCAAGGACATCCTGGAGCACCCGGACCCCGAGTACGACCCCAAGGAGCAGGACCTGGACGAGCGGACGCTCAGAAAGAAGTTGGGCAGCAGCTTTGATCCCGCGTTCATGTCGGTGGCCGCCCCGGCGCCGGGGAACCTCTCCAGCCCGGCGCCCCCGCCCAGGCTCAGGGGCTCGGCGCCGCTGCCCGGCGAGCTGAAGAAGCTGGAGCTGGGCGAGAGCACCTCGGGGCCCCGCATGAAGCTGGGCAAGAAGGCCCGGAGGAAGTTCCTGCAGTGGCTGTGGGCCTACACCCACTGCCCCGTGCGCTACACCTGGAAGGACCTGGGCGTCCGCTTCTGGCCGCGCTACATCAAGGAGGGCAGCTGCTTCGCCGAGAAGTCGTGCTCCTTCCCCGAGGGCATGTACTGCAAGCCGGCCAAGTCGGTGCCCAAGACCTTTCTGCGCTGGTACTGCCAAGGCTGGTCCAGGCAGAAGTATTGCACCTGGATCCCGGTCCAGTACCCGCTGATCTCGGAGTGCAAGTGCTCCTGCTAAGCCGGGCTAGAGAGCCGCTTCCGCCGCGCTGGGCGTGCCCCCTGCTTGGAGAGCCAGGCTCCTGGACAGACTCACCGGGATCCCAACTGTAGCGAGGGGGGCGGTCTCCATTGCCCTGGATCCCAACCCCGTTGCATGGGGAATCTCAGAGGATCGGTGCACCAGGAGGCATCATCCAGCTCAGTACCTAGCTGTCTCTCGCAGTGCAACTCGTCTCCCTCCCCCCCCCCTCCGTCCCACCGAGACCCTGAGACTGAAAGGACACACAAAGATGGACACACGCTCACAAGAGGATCTGTTTGTGCGTTTCTCTCCCCTTATTACATCCCTTGCACTGTTTATGACTTATTTTATTTTAAATGGGAAAAGCAAAACTGAAAAGGAACTGCAGTGCAGGCCAGAGGCAAAGCTAAGCACTACAATCAGATGTTTATTTTTATACATATATAGCGTTCTAACAAAACAAAACAGAGAGAGAGAGAGAGAGAGAGAAAGAGGGAGTTACCAGCCTTGTAAATATAGAGATTTTAAAAAGAAGGGGGAAATTGCAGCTGTTTATTATTATTTTATTATTATTATTATTATTATTATTATTATTTTTTTAAAGACATAGGACCACATTTTAAATCCATCCCACTAAAATCTGAGTACTTCCCTGAAAAAGGGAAGGGGGAAATTTCCAGTCAAGATGATTCAACAAAAAACCAACACAGAAGCCCTTGAAGATGTTAATTTCTATTTGCTGTATTTTTGTCTTCTACAAATGTTTCAACTAATCTGCAAAGCTCTTTATGTTTTTAAAAAGTGTTTACTGATTAATTACAAAGGAGATTTTTTTTAAAGTACAAAGTTATGAAAGAGTGGAGTCTGTTTTGTTGGTTTTGGAATACATATAGTAATGTAGAGATGTTAAAAGAAATTTTCAGTGTACAGTTTATTTATTTTTAATGTTTATGTATAAAAAAGCTAGAGATTATGCCAGAAAATATTGGAAATGTTTACTTGAATATTCCTTTAAAAACATATCAGTGTAAATATGAACTATGACTGATCAAAACATTTTTAGCAATAAACTCTATCTCTGAAGAAACAATTACTGATGCACTACAGAGTTCTGGGAAAGGAGATTATGGTGCTAGGTTTCTTGGGGCCAGATCCTGAGCTAGTGTAGCTCAGTATCGCTCCACTGAAGTCAAAAGACTTGCACCACTTTACACAGGTTGAGGATCAGGCTCTGGTTTTATTTAAATTCTGCACCTGGTGTGGAGATGGAGGACAGAAGAGAGGGATAAATGGCTCATAAGGGATAAAATAATTGAAATGTTTTGGGAAGGGAGCCATTGTCTAGTATCTGCATGAGTTTTTCTTCCTTCTTCACTGTGCCTTGTCAGGGTCTCTCTCTTACTCTGTGTCACTAGGATTCCGAGTTTCAGATTTCTCAGATTCTCAGTGGTGGAGGAAGGGGTAGAGGTTATCGCCTGAGCCATTAAAATGCCTGGCAAAATTCAAAAGCCCATGTGTTAGAGCAAATGTTGTAGCTGTTGCTAGTCATTAGCAGGGGAGGGAAGGAGTGGGGATTGCTCTGGGCTTTGGAAGAATAACCCGAGTGGGGTGGGAACTGGGAATTCTCTCCCCAGTGGAATGTGTCATTGAGTCAGGAGGAAGAGGAACATTCTTGGGGGATTGACCTGGCAGAGGTGCTGAGTGCCTTCAGCTCCCACTGAAGTCACCATTTGGCCCAATCCTGCCAGGGGGTGAGCAGGATGCCCTACCTTCCCTCAGATGGTGCTCAGCTCCTTGTAGGATCATCAGCCTCCAGATTGCCGGTTGTGGGCGGAGGGGTGTTGGCAAGATCCTGTGAGGTGCTCAAGTGAGTGGAAGTTGAGGGAACTCAGCACTTTGCAAAGTTGGGCCCTGAGGGGCCTACTCCTGCTCCTATTGAAATCAATAGGAGTTCTGCCTTTGGGATCAGGATCTGGTCCTAACAGGGCTGCCACATTGGAAGATGTGGAAAAGGAAAAGGGGAAAGCTGGTGGCAGGATCTGGACTGCAACTGCATGCATGGGGTAGTCTGCAGATGGTGGTGGTGATGGGGGCATCTTCCCCAGTTCTTTGAAATACTTCTCATCCTGGGACATAGAGTACATTGCAAAGACCCCCCCCCCCCAAAAAAAAAGCTCTTTGGAAAACTCTTGGTCAGTGAGGAGTAAAACTCACTCCCTAGTGCTGCCATGTCAGCGGTGTGCAGAGATGCTGACGGTGAACTCCAGCAAAGGCAGGGAAAGTTCTGATCACCATCCGTCTGAGCAAAGTGCATTGGGATGGTGGGCAAATGGCAGCGGGCCTGAGTCAGAGGCCATTGAAGTCAGTGGAAAGACTCCCAGGAACTTCTGTGGGGTTTGGATCAGGCCCATCAGGCTTTATAGAAACCACTTCCAGCCAGTGCTTGGCTCCTCTGGTGCGGGTAGAGCGCCTGCCAAGCTTCTGTGGGGCCAACGCTACTCGTGGAGGGACTGGATTCAGATTTTAGTAAAACACAGGCTAAATTTGGAATAGGTGCAAATTGCTGCAGAAGGGAGTGTGTTTCCAAGGGGATAATGATTTTAGTACTTGATATCTTCCAGGAGCCATGTAAACAGTAACTCACTCATGGGAGGGGAAACCGGTTGGCCGTTCCCCCCCCCCTCTCCCCCCCCAGATACCCAGTCTCTTTCAAGGGAGCAGAAAAATAACACTTCTAGTGCAACTTGTAAAACATCCGGGGTGTTTGGGAAAGGAATGGGTCAGCTCATCTTGCAAGAAGAACGACATCTGTGGTGTGGACACCGAACATCTGTAGGAGGCCTTTTGCCTGGGTGTGTGGGTGGGGCGTGGGAGAGGGTATTCTGGGAAAATATTTTGGACATAATCCCAACAGTATCTGGTGTGTTGGGATTTGGTTACAAATGGCCCTTTAACATCTTAGTGCATTTTGTTCTGCAGATTCCAGGGGTATGTGGAGACCCTGCTTTGTGCTAACCTGGGAAATAAACCATTCCCCGGACTCAGTGGCTGAATTTAGTTGTGGGGGAAGGGGAAAGGGGGTGACTTTTGTGTGTGTCCTAATTGCAGGGGATAAAACAGCCTAAAAGCCTCCATGCTGTGCAACTGGAGGGGCCACCTCAGTCCCGAGATCAGGAACATACTCCCGATACAAGGGAGTCAGGGCCAAATGTCCTGCAGCTTCTGCTTCAGTCTTTAAGTTTAACCAGATGTGGGGGGAGAATAAGGGGACCTACCCCACCAGATAACATTTGACTCCCTCATTCATGTCCCTCTGAGTGGAGCTGCAGGAAAAATGCATTCTCACTCCTGATCTCCCTGCCAATCCCCATTGCTCAGATGCCCCTATTATTTACTGATGAAGGTTTTGCCACTGTGTTACCAAGAGTGGTTTCAGCAGCTAAGGAAAGGCTGTGAATGTAGAAATGTGACATTCGTGGAACTGGGGATGGGGATGTGTGCAGAAGGCAGGATGATTAACCAATCTTCGTATATCAGGGAGTAGCCGTGTTAGTCTGTATCCACAAAAACAACAAGGCGTCTGGTGGCACCTTAAAGACTAAGATTTATTTGGACATAAGCTTTCGTGGGTAAAAAAAACCCATTTCTTCACATGCATCTGAAGAAGTGTTTTTTTTACCCATGAAAGCTTATGCCCAAATAAACCTGTCAGTCTTCTTATCTCTCCTTGGCATCAGAAGGAATTTTGGGTGGCATGAGAAATGGACGGGAATAAGGCCTAGTTTTTAGTGTATCTGCTTGCAATTAGGGGACAGGCAGTGTGTAAAATCTTTCTCATGCCTCTATTGGTCCAATGTACGGGACACCAAACTTTGAGATCTGGCTCCTTTCCCCCAGCTCTGCCAGTAACTTGATGAGTGATGTGGGCCAGCTCTGTGCCTCAGTTTCCACATGTGTAGTGCTTTGAGATCTAAGCAAATGCCTCTTCATCCTTGCTGTCCCTTTTGCTTATAGACAGGTACATTTCAGCATGGGCATAGGAACACTTAGTCGTGTCTGGGAACACACACACTTGGGAACCACGGTCATACCTTGGCGCTTGCATTTATGGCCCATGATTAGTCCACATTGCTCTCAGACCCCCTCCGTTTCCCCTCCATGCATTGCCTATAGGCCCTGTGCATTTGGTCTTCCAGACTCTGCTGCATCCCTTCATTTTCTCCACCCCCCACCCCTATGCACTGTTCTAATATGCAGGCCTGTTTAGGGTGAAAGGAACTTGATGAATATGTAGTGAGATTTCAAAGTGTGTTTTCTGCAGCAGCAGCAACAACAACAAAGAGTTTGAGGGGGAGCCCTGGCCTTCTGGCTCACTCTGATGGTGAAGTCTCTGGGGTTTTGGAAGCCCCTTACTAACTCAGAGGCGCCACTTAGCCGACAGAACAGGATGAGGTGGTTAGCTAGAGGATCAGCAGCTTAACCCTTTCTTACATAGAGGGGGAAAGACTGCGAGTGACTGGGAGAGGCTGTTGTGGGCATGACAAACACCTTTTTCCAATAGTATTCCCTGAAAATCGCAGCTCAAAACAGTGCTAAACTTATGTATGTTTATAAAGATCTCTCCTGTACAAGAGCCTTATGTCAGGGTTCTTCTGCCTGCCCTCACCAGGGGAGTGGTAAAGTTCTCTCTTCTAACCAGAGTCCCCAGATCAAGACATTCCCTGCCAGCTGACAGTCCCTCTTGTTAAAGCAGCCTCGGATCTGGATGGTTGCTGCTATTTCACCTTGGGATCTGGATACAGTTCTCCTGTGTTGAGAAACCTTTCTTTTAAACTCACATTTGACTTTCACACCAGTTCTGCAGTGCGTGGCTGTTAAACTGTTTTCTATCCAATGCCAAAGAGGTTATTTTCTCCCCTTTGCCTTTGTTTGCTCCACCATTAGCCCAAGACCTCGTGTCTTGGACTTTGCTAGCTTAGGTCAGTGTGAAGCCAGAACATGGTACCCTGGCCCATCCTCTTCAGTTAATGCTGTTTCACCAGTAAACCACACTGGGTGGGTTTTAGGTTGACACAGTTTTCCACGTTACACTCATCCTCTGTGCCCAGTGAACCAGCCTCTCAGGTCCAGGGCCCAAGGTTTTTAGTGTCAGCACACGTCATGTGACTGAAGCCCAGTAATAATGTAAAACAGTGGTCTCCAAAGTGGGATGCGCAGCAGGAGGAGCCTCACCGAAGCAGCGCCGCTTTTTCTTTTTTTCCCTTCGGCAGTTCAGCTGGGAGTCCGAGCGGCTTTTTTTTTTTTTGCTTCGATAGTTTGGCCCGGAGCAGGGGGTGCGCGATCAAAAAAGTTTGGAGACCACTGATGTAAAACAATAGCTCAGCTTTAAGACAGGTGAGTGAACTAGACTGAAGAAAATAATCTCCATGAATCTCTATCTGAAATGCAGACTGAACCTGAACATTTCTTTGGTTCAAAAAAGGACATATCTCTCCTCCCTCCCATTGGCTTTTATTATTGCTGCTGCAACGGTGCTGAAGCAGTATTTCCAGCTGAACTGAAAGTACAAGAAATGTCACAAGGTCTGTTCTTCTGAGACTCCAAGACCAAGAGTTCCAGGTGAGCAGGATATGAATCCTAATAGCACCCAAGTGTTCAGTAGTTTATAGCAGTGGTGCAAGAGGTGCAACTTGCTGGTCTACACTACTGCGGTAAATCAATCTAAGGCCTGGTCTACACGGGGGGACGGGGACGGGGGGGAGAAGGGGGATCGACCTAAGATACGCAACTTCAGCTATGAGAATAGTGTAGCTGAAGTCGACGTAGCTGAAGTCGACATAGCTTAGGTCGACTTACCTCGAGTCCTCATGGCTCAGGGTCGACTGCCGCTGCTCCCCCGTCAACTCCACTTCTGCCTCTCGCTGCGGTGGAGTATAGGAGTCGACGGCAAAGTGATCAGGGATCAATTTACCGGCAGGTAGTGTAGATGTACCCTAAGTTATGCTACTTCAGTTACACGAATAACGTAACTGAAGTCAACATAGCTAGATCCGCTTAGCGTAGTGTCTACACTGCACTGTGTTGATGGGA